TAATAATAATAATAATAATAATAATAATAATAATAATAATAATAATAATAATTTTTTTGTTTAACCAAATTTAATGTACTCACTTAAGACGTAAAATAATTATGATGATGATGCTGAATGATGATTATAATGAGGGTGATGATGATAATAATGATGATGACGATAATGATAATGATTATGCTAATGATGATGATATTTATTAGTGAAGTTTAAAGCTATGACGTGATTAATGATGAAAAAGCTAAAGACAGTTAGGCCTATAATCTTTCATAACGATGCAATTATACAATATTCTGTCATTTGCGTCGAAACAGCATATCGCCCTCTACAAAACAACATATACCTGACATTCATTATTATGATGTAATTTGATAGTAATATTTACAATATAAGATAAACCGACCACATCTAAAAAAATATTTCACGATAACAAATTTATCAAAATACGATGATTACAAATTATATTCAAAGTACAAGGGAGCAGCAGAAGGCGGAATCATTCATTAATTTTTTGCATCATCAGTGAGTGATGTTAACATCTGGTCACAAAACTAGATATACAAACATTTAGGCCTATAGAATTATAGCATTACCGCAAAACAGTACAGAGTTTATCTCTATAAATTATTTATAAAGAAATTTATATTTTCAGAGATCCCGTCTTGTCGTCAAATGCTTAAGAAAAAAATGTGTATCATATAATTTGATCTGTTATTTGCGATGCGTCGGGTACTTAGTGTTTTCTAACTACGCATGCACAAGAGAGAGATCATTATGATAAAAAGCTGTAAAAAATAATACTGTAGTTATGTTCCAAAAAACGTTAACCCTCTAAAGGCAAATGAAAACGAGCACTAAATTATTGTTATGAAATAAAAATATTATATCTCTGATATTTCAATAAACATGTTTTTTTATTAAATATGAAACTTGTTTTTCAAATGATATGGAGATAAGATGAGATGCGTATTTGCATATCACATTTGATTTGAGAAGATCCTTAATCTGAGAAATAATAAAAAAAATGAAATACATTTCTGCTGTAGCATCGTGTGGAGACGGGGCATTTCTAGTACAGTCAAGGTAAGTGGTAAGCTTATTTTTGAAATTAAAACTTAATGACATTAATACAGTAGATAAACTAAACTACATAGATATTTAGTTGATAATAAGCAATTCCTAAATAGCCTAATAGATCCAATTATCGTAACTAAAGAAAAGCACAGAAAATAACAAATGATTAAAATGTTAACATTTTTCGGAAGAACTGAGCCCATCTTCAGGTCATTTCCAAAATTTCCCTGTATAAAATGTGTATGATACTTCAATGAATTTCTACATTTTTATTAACTCAAGAACATTTTATTATTAATATTCTTATATAAGATGCTTCAGTAAATGTGATTTTTTATCTTTATCACTGTGTTCATGAACCTTTTAATCGGATGTCGACATGTAGAGCCAGAGTGTAAACCTCTCTGGAATTACATCTAGCACATTATAAAATACTACTAACTGCTAACTAAATCCTTTCCGAGTCACTGGGGCTCATAGGGCTGGATACCCAGTTTCTGTAGTGTGTAGCGGATGAGAGTTGTACTCCCCCTGGACGGGACACTAGTCCATCGCAGGTTAGTCCCCAGCAGTTTGCTGGTACCCATTGATAGAAGCAATGCTGCAGCTAAAGTGCCTTCCCCAAGGACACAAGCGAATCTGCACAGCGGAGACTCGAAACCCCGACCTTACGATTGAAAGCCCAAACCTCAACCGTTGCGCCAACAGCCGCTACATTATAAATTATACTCCAGGTTATTTTACCAGTTTAGAAATGAGTACACGAACCTGGAGTGTAGTAGATAAAAATGGTTTTTATTTTACTACTTCTTATATTTACTTTGAGTCAGGAACAATGTTTTGTTACAAGGTATAACACTTTTGACATCATCTAAATATTTAATAATAAAATAGAACACTAAAATACATTAACCTGTGTCCTCATTGTTTATCTTTGTTTAGGTATCCTTTGTTATATTATTATTATTATATTATTTGAATACCTTATCAATGACGTAAGCTGAATAACCACTTTTATATCCATCAAATCACGTATCGATGTCTTATTAGTACTAATGAAAAAAATTCTTACATTTTACATTTTAAATAATCTTAATAAACAAAATGCAAATATAAAGTTAAATTAAACTGCGTTCGTCTCATTTATATTAAGAAAAGTAATGTAATTTGATTTAAAATAAAATAATTATTATAAATCAAATTTAATAGATCAAAAATATCAATTAAAAAAAAATCAGTAGATAAAGGATGCTTAATGAATGTTTTATGTTATAAAAGATAGAGTGATTTGAATACTCATTTAAGATAGACCTAGAGAAATGGGAGCTTTTAAGTTTGGCATTGTAGTCTACTCAAAATAGGTTGAGTACAACTAAAACATGTTTCCAAGGGGCGGATAGCGATAATGGTCTAGCAGTTAAGGCAGCTGGCGCGCCGCAAGCCATAGCTTCAAGTCGACGTTGGTTCGGGATTCTGGTCGCTCATATGTTAGGGTGTTACAACCAAGTCTTTTCGGACAAGGACTCAATCCCAACTCTAAAATTTAGTTTACAAAATCCTTTGAGTCCACCCGGGCTTACTCTAGTGCTCTAACTCAAACAAGTAGGAGGAGGAGGAGAAGGAGAAGAAGAAGAAGAAGAAGAAGAAGAAGGAGAAGGATAGAATAAAGAGGAAAAGAAGGAGGAGGAAGAACTTGAAGAGGAAATGAAGAAGAAGGAGTAGGAAGAACTTGAAGAGGAAATGAAGAAGAAGGAGTAGAAAGAACTTGAAGAGGAAATGAAGAAGGAGGAGGAAGAACTTGAAGAAGAAGACATTAGGCTTAATAAGGTTTAACCATTCCTCATTGGCCAATACGGACTTAGCAAGTAGCAGGCTTAACCTATTAAATATCCTCTCAAAACATATAGCTCCCAGCACCTTTCTATCATCATTTTCTTGTCGGATCCTCTCAAGCCAGATGGGATTTGGAAACCTTTCTGTTTTGTTTGTTTTACTGGTTCCATACTATACTTCTTACATGTTTTTTTTCTCTTCGGTATTTTATAAAAAATTATAAATGTTTTAATATATTCTGTTACATTGGGTAGATTTGCTATAAAAATGTAAATGTTAACTACTGTAAATGCTGTAAACAGTGTTGAAAATACTAGGACAACTTTAGTATTAATGAGAAACAAGTCAAGATGTTTTCGAAAGAACGGAGAGAAAAAGTTAGTAAAACTAACAAAAGTAACACATTTCAAAATAATGCAGTTGCTCTACTTGATGTTCAAGTTTGAGAGCCTGAGCCAGTAGTGTTGCACCCTCTGTAGTTCAGGGTAAGATAAGGAAAATATTAACAAACAAATATAATAACTCTTGACCAGCGTCTTACAGTGATGGTTGGTCTATAGGTCTAAGCTAGTATAACAAAAGACTATCCTATCAAAACATTAACAGATTTCTTTCTGTTAAAACTATGAGTTAAATCTGTACAAACTTATTTGTTAATGAGTCTCACAAACCTCTTGATTTCATCCAGACGTCGAAAAAAGTGTGGAAAACAGCGAACGTTATTTATTTTTTGCTAGGGCTAAATATGAATAGGTCATGGAAAGAAGGGCAATATAAACAGACGTTATGTGGTTCAACAGTGTAAGTCCAACTTTTATTGCCGGAATTTCAAATAGTATTTTGCTGATTGATATTCGATTGATACCGCATCATTGCAATGACAGACGGCTATAATCTATTACAAGTAACGAGGCGATAAAGTAGGCTATAAAAGTTTTTCAACAACTGACGATAGAAAGAATACCCATTAACAATAGGGACTATAGTGCGTTGTTTGTAATGAGTCAGCAATTTATTGTACAGTATCTACTGTTATGTCAGAAATATTTGTCACAATTTAATTTGTTTAGACGATGAGGTGTAGTTAATTATAATTAATTAGTAAACCCCCTTACACATTAGCCATCATAATAAACCCAAGTATTCCCTTTACTTAATCCACACTATTACAACCTAAGTGACATTCTTTGACAACGTTGAAGATCATCGTTTAAACACAACCTTCCAATCCACTATGCAGATGGTTCTTTAAATTGTGATCGTGCCTTGGGCTTCCAAGGCTCCGATTTCTCATGTATTATATTAAACTGAAATGGAAACACGTCCGAATCTCGGTTAGGATCCGATGTGAATACAACTTTAGCATTGTTTCCAGATTCATTACTCATTTTTCTATCTTTGCCTGTGTTCTCTGCGGTTTGCCAATCTGTTTTTAATCGGCTTTATCGTTTGTTCATTCTTCTTTTAAGGTGTCCAGCCCATTCCCACATTGTAGTACCAAGTCATTCTCTTTTTTTTATGCTCCTTGGTCCACTCATTTGTTTTTGGTTTCTTCTGGAGGCCTATCCCTGCCATCTTTCATCCTTTCCATGCGTCTTAGAGTCTGAGTTGCCAAGATAAAATGAGGATTTTCAGCAATGCAAACCCTTTTTAATTTATTATTTTTATTTTTTGATTTTCTATAAGACGATCTCTGATCACCGAGTATCAGTCATTCTTCTTTTAAGGTTTTCAGAGTTAAAAAGATAATCTACTAAAACATTTAAATTTCAATTAATTACGGTAAGAAATGAACAAACAACTGTCATTCGTATGATTAGGATATCAAACTAACATTGGATCACCATAGAGGCCCCTATGATTGGAGTAACAATTATAATGCAGCTATAACTTTGTTTATAACATGATGGTTGTATAGTTTTTCAACCGTCCCGCTGAGAACCACTCGAAGTCTAAATACAACAAAGTTTAACACAACCGCAAGTCCCGTTATTGATGTCGGTAAAATCGATAAATATTGAACGCTTATCCCCAGCCACATACTATAAATGAAGGCCATTGTTCGATTTTACAAAGAGACCCAATAAGAAACCGACTTCTATATCCCCCGTACAAATCCCAGGCACATAAAACCTACTTTTGACCCATTCGCTGGACAAACGGGATGCCATCTGAAGGAGTGCAGTAAATATTTAGGCCTATGTAAATCGTTCGATGTCCTGATCAAGTTGGCGGATTGCAAACACTGGTGGATGTGAACTTCTTGTTGAGTTCTGCGTACAAGTAGACTTCACGTCCACAACTGTGTCAATCTGGGTTTTTTTTTTTCTGTTGCCGGTCGGGCTGTTGTTGAATTGTCATGCTGTTTTTGCGTCAATTTTCACTGACATATCGGTGCTTCAATGGTGGTTACCATTTGCTTCCAAGTTCAAAGCATCCCTTTTGATCATTTTTAATCAGCTAAATATTAACTGACGTCATAATTTACAGATCAGTTGCTATTTGACGTACTATCTATGGATATTTAAGGAAACAATATATTGAACTGAGAGCAAAAGTGGAATTTTGATTGGTAAGTTTTGTTTGTTGCAACTTGAACTTCGTGATGTAATACGCAGGTTTTTTTTTTATATTAATATTCATTTTTAGAAAAATGAAAAGGAAAACAATAAACATAGCACTATTTTAAATTTGGTAAAAAGACATTCGTTATGTGTCTGTTCGCTTTTTTTCCTTTTATTATAATTATACAAAACCAATATATCAAGACGCGTGTCTATAAGTTAATTGTTGTACACGATATAGCCCTAACATGTAACATCAATTGGATATTGCTTTTGATCAATACATTCAGGAACAAAACATGTTACTACAATGTCTGTGCTGCTTGCTGTGTTTTTTCGCCTTAGCCAGTATTCTCCCGTTTTAACATGTTACAGTAATTATCTTAATGTTATTTTTTTAGATATCTTGGTCTAGACTAATGGATTTATTATGGTATTACTTATTATAATTTTACAGTTAATTTATAACAATTATTTTAGCATTATTCAACTGGTCATGAAATGTCAAACAAATAGTAACTGTGTAAATTTCAATGAATGTGGAAGGAAGTGAATTAAAATTATATATGTATGTTTATCAAAGTAAAATCATAAAAATATTTTCGGAAAAAAAAATAATTTGTTTGAGAAAAATGTTACGGTATGCCTCATAATTCTGACCAATTAAGTTAATATCTCTCATAAAACGATCACAATGATAACTTGGTGATAACTTTGAGTAACCCTTTTTTTAGTGCAAGCTCTCTGTTTGACTGCTAACATGGCTCAGACATAAGGCTAACAAAATATTCTACTTAAATGGAAAGCACATACAAAGATATCAAGCAAAATAATAGGCGCCTTGGTACACTTCTGCGAAACATACACAACGGACCTTAGAATAACAGCTATTGTAATCGGAATGTATTTCCGAAATTATGTTTTGTTCGGAATGTAACAATATTGAAGTTGTCTGTCATTTAACCTAAAATGAATTGGGGAAATTTTGAATCTACCTGGTCGTAAACATAAAAGGAGAATTTACGACGGGTAGTGAAATGCATTGTGCATGGTAGGGGGTTATTCCTGCACACACACGTGTTGTGTGTGTGCCTGTACACGCAATATTCTATCAGTATTATTGGAAATAGGTTATGTTAGCTATTAATAAATTTTCTCACGGTTAAATTCTCAAGATTATTTTTTTCAACTATAAAGAGCGTAACTCAACCTAGAGGGCATCTGATATTCAGATCCCTCATAGTAGCCAACTGTTTTTCTTTGCTCTCCTCTAGCACTTTCAATTTATTTGTGAAGTATTTAATTTATGTAAGCTTATGTTGAAGAGAATATAAATTTAAATAAACAATATTAAGCATGCCGGAACGAACAGTTCCATGAACGTAATTTATGGTTTTGGTATAAGAGATATGTAAATTCAGAGGACAGACCATTAGGTAGATCTTACCATTAAGGACAGACCTACAAAATGTATTATTGTTGCAATTACCAGGGAGCAACTTACTGAGTCCCTAACTTGTTTACTTCAGCGTATAATTAGCAAAAGAAGCACTAAGCAGCTTACGATCTAATTGACACCAATAACCGGCTAGTAAACATTCATCGACCACCGTGGGCCAATGTCCCTACTTATGTAGAACAATGAGTGGCTTTCAATAGTGTTTGTTCAAAAGGCATGAAAACACATCAAGCACACATCAAATTCAAAACAACCATTACATAGAGCTATACTGTAGATATTAGGTCAAATATTATAATAATAATGATAACAATAATGTCATTTTTATTTGCATTTATAAAGGGCTTTTATCGTTACTCTCATTGGAAACATTAAAAATGTACAGTCTCTTCTGCTCCGGCCATGCAAAGTGCTCCTACTAGGCCTATATGAGCCGTTATTTTGTGTTAAGCGCATAATTCTGCATAATAATGCGTTCACAGTACCATTATTATTATTCTTATTATTATTTTTATTATTATTATTATTATTATTATTATTATTATTATTATTATTAATTATTATGTTACTAAAACTTACCTTAAGGGGAACTTAGACAATGGTGAAATTAGAGAACAATTACAAAAACGAGGTTAAGGGGAATATAACATGACGTTAAGGGGAAAATAACACAAAAGATATTCTTTAAGTCCGACTTAGCGCATATTATTATTATTGGCTTTCCCAGCAGTACTGGGAAAAGCCATTGTTTTTGTTCTGATTGTTTTTCTTCTTTTTTCTTGCATATACTTTCACTATCTTTTTTGCACTATTTTTTTCTGTCCGTCACTTTGGTCACTTCCATTGCTTAGAATTTTTCCGTGCTTTGCAGAAGCATGCCATATATCAAGGATCGGTCCTTCCAAGGCAGAACAACGTAACTTAACAAAAATGTGAAAGTTAAGAAGTTGCGTTATTTTGCCATGGGACTGTGCCTCCTAATATTTAGTGTCAATCTATGGTCAATCTATCTATGGTAAATGATTTAAGGTCAAAAACAGTCTACACCGGATATTTCAAAAACCGGTCAGTTGATGTGCATGAAACCTGCCGGAAAGTTTAATCAAGTTACATGGAAGAAATGTTTATGTGTTAGTGACGATCCAGTGAAGAGTGTAAATTTGAGGGTCTTTTCAATTTTTGAAGACCCAGACCTAAATATCTCTTTAAAAAAACAAAAAATAAACCACTGGGTCTAAATGAAACATTCTATAATACTTTGTAAAGGTCTTGTAAAAGAATGATTAAATTTTTGTGACGATCAGCAATATGGTGGGTATCTGAGGACTATTTAAAGGAAAACGTCCCAGACCATATATTTCGAAAACGGATCAACTGATCTGAATGAAACATTCGGAAAAAAGTTTATCCAAGTTACAAGGAAGAAATTATTATGTGCCGACGACGAATCAGTCAAGGGTGTAAATTGGTGTTATTTCAATTTTTGAGGACCCAAACCTAAATGACTCTTTAAAAAAATCAATGGGTATAATTTAAACCTTGTATAACAGTTTGTCAAGGTCGAGTAAAGAAAGGATTACATTTTTGTGACGATCCGGAGTACGGTAGATCTGACGACCATTGAAAGCAAAACGTCCCAGACTACATATTTCAAGAACTGATCAACTGATCTGAATGAAACATTCGGTAAAAGTTTAACCAAGTTACCAAGATAGTATTATGTGTTGATTAATTTTTTTAAACGCAATTTGCATTTTCTAAAGCGCTTAAACCAGTTAAAGCTAGGTTAAACTAAAAACTACCGTGATATGCATGAACAATTTTTGCTTTCACTCATTGAATCGCTATGAACTGAAAATGCACTTTCCTATGCATGGTCGGCTCATATGGCGCGCAATGGTTGTGAGTCAAGATGTACCTCGCTATTACCATTGCAGCCATAGTTCAAGTCTCACTAATAACGTCGAAGTGAACTTGGTTTTCGTTTTTTTTTTTCCACTTTATTAAAATTATATTGGTTTTCCCTGTTTATTGTTTTTTTACTTTATACTTTTTAACCTCGAGATAGGCCTAAAGTTAACCGGATAAAAAACATCACTAATTAAACAATAATGTAAATAAGTGTGAAGCATAAGCCACCCATTACGTCCAAACCTTAACCAAAGAACGAACAAAGGAGAAAAGTATGCAGACTGCATTCCTGAAGGATCAATACATATGTTGACGATAAGGTCATACTATCCGAAGAGATAAATCTTAACATTCATTTATGGAAAGAAACTGTGCACAAGAAGATGGTACGACATAGATAGGCCTACACAACTGGTGCAATACGGTTGCATCCCAGAATTAACCAATACATCGTTCAGTGGTGGTGAGCGTTTGTGAGCCACTAAATTGAGTTTACCCCTCAACCAAAGGACGAAACATAAAAGGGGGAAAATGCAGGTTACGGCACATTCCTTAAGAATCGAAAAAATATGCTCACCATAAGATCATTTTATTCAGATCAAGGCTAAATACTTGTTTCTTTTTTTTTTAATTCAGCGTGTCACGTGAACTACTATTACTATTTCCATAAAATAAACAAGCGACGATGAGGAAGGGGATTTTTTTTTCTCAAACAAATAGCGTTTAGCCGGCGTTGGGGTTGAACCTCTCTATGCTTCATATGAGATGTATAGATTGCAGTTGATATTTTCTTCGTTTTGGTTTTATTCTTTTATTTATTTTTTATTAGCACCATAACTTTTCTAAGGATTAAACCAGTCTCATTTCGTTTGGAGAGGAAGCATTTGGGCACATAGTGTAGCTACAGTAATTATTTATGGTGTCTAGGTCTACACTGTATTTTAAATTATATGGTCAATTTTGATATAAGCTGTCAGTAATGATCTTGGGGTGTTTTTCTTTTTCTGTTTCTGTTTTTTTTTTTTTTTTTTTTTTTTTTTTTTAACCGGAGAGATCTTTCTTATCTTAACAACGACTATTTTTTAAACAACTCATATCTAATCTAATTTATCCGTGCACATCATCAATAATTGTATTCACACGCAAACACACATAATATAAAGTCAACGACAACGTAAACACACTTAGAAATGTTCCTATTCCTAAGCCGGGAATCCCAAGTGGACTTAGTAGGTCGGTTTTCATTATATGCCACAAGAGAGAAAAAAAGGAGTAAATGTGCCAAACACCATTGTCAATCACGAGAACAATACTGGGCCTAAGGTGTGAAAGGTATTGTTTGTGTTTTACCCAAAAACAAGTGGACAGAGTTCCTACTCTGCGCATCAAAATAAAACGAGGATAGCCCTTGTGGACAGATTATGGGAAATCATACATGGGATAAATATGGGCAAAAGCAGGAAATATATTTTTTAAATATGGGCATGCCCATATAGGTAACACTATCGGGGCCCACAAAAGAAATAATAAAAGATGAACCCATTTGGGCTATTCATAGGTCAGCCCATGTGGGCAAAGTAAGAGGTTATAATATATGGGCCTGTCTCTTATACACATCTAGATGTGTATAAGAGACAGAGAATACATATTTGACAAACATAAAGCAAAACAGATGATAATTTTTCATTACTAAAAACATGGACAACATATAAAATATGAAAATACTTCAAAATAATCGCCTTGATAAATATCGTTTACATTTAAGTTCCCATTTTCAATTTCAATTTTATTTGATCTCAATTGGCAGTCTTAACGCTGAATTACATCATCTCGCTAGAAAAATAGTTGGTGGCCAGCAACGGGTAAGTTAATTATTTATTTTTTATTTTGAATCATTTAATAGAGAATCAAAAAGTGGAACATTTAAGGGCTTTTGAAGATACGCAAAAGCTTACAATTTTCATCAAGATATCTGCTTATCCAATCCCCTGCCAAGTTATTGTACGTTGCTGCTTGCGAAAAAATGCCTAATATTACCATCCGTGGGTAATAGACAATCGGAATTCGGCCCCTTCGACCTAAACCCAACGTAAACCTCCCCGAAAATGGAAAGTGTCGAATATGAACTTCGGAACACAAAAGAAGGAATGGAGAGAGACGTGACACCACTCCTCCATTTTCCGTGATTTTCGAGGTGAATTCCGTCTAGTGATCGCAAGTTTGAACGGGATGTAGCCTATCGTAAGAAATGAGACTGGCTCGGAGTCGACGAACTCGTTAAGTGTAAACGAGGAAATGAGGTCGCTCCTTTTTAAGACAACACAGCATATTTTAAGCCTACCACCAACCGTAAACACGACAACAAAGAGAGCGGGTTCACAAATAACTTGAACTTGAGACACTGAAAAATCTAACTCTTTAGTTAATTGAAGCAATAAAAACATTTCCTAGCTGAGTTATTTGTGTCGAACTAGGACTAGGTCATGTTTCGAGACTAGTACATTGTAAAGTTGTGAGCACGATGACAGAGATAGCCCAATAAATGTCCATAACATGTTTGAAATCCTCAAAATAGGCCTGCATCTAACCAATAATAAGTCGTATGTGGTCAAGCATTATTCCTCTGATAGTACCGAGCAAATTATTGTGAAATTCTAATTATTGGGCCTCTATACTTATACAGTATAATAGGCCTACTTTCTATGTTGAGGCCTAAGTAAGTTATAAGCTTCTAAAACAATATAAATTTCCCCACCAAGGACCGAAAGTAAAACACAATCGAAGGTTCTCCAGTGCAGGAACAACATTAAAATGGGTTGCAGACGTTAAAATAAAATTAGAATATTGCATTGTATGCGAAATTACGAAAATCGTGCAAACAATAAACACAAATAATCAATACAAATTACAAAGTTACATAAAAAATTTATTATAAAAATACAAACAAATTATCACAAAATATTTTAATGAGAACATATACATGTACATAAGTGTTAATTTTAGGTAAACATCACCAGAAATAAAAACAGACCAGTAATCATATAAATCCTTAGATAACATTCTGAAGTCAATTAAATTCCAATGATTGTTTCGTCTTAAGGCACTATATGCACAACAAGGCGCAGGAAGAAAATCGAGCGTTTATAATTTAGGTGTATTAGCCCCATCGATCGATGTGTCTCTACGTGTATTAATGATAGGCCTTTTACTTCGGAACGGTGGCACTCAATTGGTGCGTTCACAAAAGCAAATCAAAAGGCTACAATAACAACTATCAAAAGGTCTACAATAACACCAATCTCATTTACAGTAGTTGATTGGTCCAGTTTTTTTAAATAACATGTTTTGATTGACAAATTTTGGTCAAAAATGCATGGATGAAACTTTTTTTTTATCTTCGAGATTTTGCGTCATGAATTGGAAGTGACAGGTTAAACCTCGACACTGACAGGTCAACTTTGATGACATCACTTTCTTTAGTAAGAAGTTGTAATCGACGCCGGATCCAGAATTGTTAAAACTAACTGTGGTAATAGCCTACAGGCAGGTACAGGGTTTTCTGATAGGGGATTGGAAATTCAACAAATCATACCTGATTTCCCCTCCCAAATGTCACTGGCAAACATTAATAACTCATTATTCGATATCTCATTAGAGGAATATCTTGGCAATTTTGCTTGGTTAGAAATTTGTTTAATGATAATGGTAGATAGATAGAACGTGTTAATGTGTGTGTGTGTGGGGAGGGGGGGGGGGGGGGGGGAAGGGGTCAGAAAATAATGCGCTCGTCACACGTAGGTTTCGCTGTCGTTTTGTGGGAACTTCAATTGGTGGAGCTTAACGCCCACTATACGCCTATTTGTCAGTACTTTGTAATTTATCCATAACACACGGTTCCATCTCTCAACACCCAATTCTCTTAATATTTCACGGTGGGATTGTGCGTCTGTCTGTAAGATTACAAACATTTTCAACGCAAAATAAAAATGCTTAGTCAGTGCTAATAAACACATTTTTTAATCAAAATAGACCTACCGTTATAATATTTCAATTTCGTGATGAGTCAACCTACCTTTGGGTGTGCTAATTGACATGTTAGAGGGTCACACCGCCCATACTGACCATATTAACAACTGTAATAATTGTGTAAGGATTAAGTGTGTACGATTGCATTGAATCATTTATCCACAGCAGAAGGTAGTGTTGAAACACCACTTTAGCAGGTGGGTAATGCAAACGAATCAATTTTCAGCTGATAGAATTATATTAAATTAAGGAATAATCTTGCAAAATAGCCTACAGAGAAAAATAATTTTTCAAGATAGAGTTCTG